TTGTGTCATTGCAAATAGTTTTTCCTATTGATTTGTCTCTTCCAAGTCTACCGTTTGCAATGTACATATTATTTTGTTTACACAATTCGAGTAACTTCTTGCCAAAGTTGTTCACATTACATTTACATTGACTCGTTCTCATTAAAGGAACACCAAATTGTATTAGTTTTTTCAAAATCATACATATAGTTGAAAACATCATCATTTTTGTCAATATCAAATATTCATGAGGGAGTCATCAGGTTCTATGAAATCCCGTAGGTGTTTGGTTTTTGCATTAAAATCACCAATTAAAGCTATATTACAATCAGGATTTTGTAATTCAATCATTTCCTTTTCAATTTCATTAAATGCATCTAGGGAAGAATATCTAGAGTTCTCGGGTGGAATATATGTACACCCTAATATCAAATCGCGTTCTAAACCTAGAGCAGATTTTGTCAGCTTTACCCATTGTATTATAAAAATGTAACAAAGGTTTCAACTTCTTTTTATATATAATGACAATACCACCAGACTTTTTATATATAATGACAATACCACCAGACTTCTTCTTGCATTTGAGACGATTTTTTGCATAATAAGTATATTCAGATGGTACCTTCAGTACATCAGGGTCATCAGTCTTACATTCAACAAATATCAAAATATCATTAGATTTTATCAGTGTAACAAATTCTGGTAAATCAAGTTTTGATTTTAAACCACTTACATTTAAAAAGTAAATTTTAGTTCTTTGTACAGTCTTGGTCATTGGTTAGACCTCTCGTAGCGTCTCCCTACAGACGGTTGTTGCGAGGGTTTCGTGGGCCCTGCCCATCAGATGGGACTGACTGGCTGTCATGCTGATGTCCACTAGGGGGCGCTGGTGGACCATGATAGTTGTGCCTATTGGGTGGCTGACTGGTCCATCGTTGGTCCTGGGATCTGGAATGATCACCAAAGCGATCCCGTGGGCCATCGTTTCGGGGAGGGTCGTGAGTAGGTGTGTTGTACAGATATCCATCGATGTACAACTTTTTGACTTTCATACGAGCCGTTTGGCCGCGCCTACGAACTTCCTTGAACACAGGGTACAGGATTCCCCTTCTTTCATTTACCTCAGGGGAGTATTGCACGTTGACAGTGAATTGGGGCTTACCGACTAGCTAAACGGGGGCAGCATTCAAGACCATATCGCGGTCTTTCCGTGAAGTGAATTTCGCTATCATAGAACGTGGCTTGCCGTCTGACCGTCTTCTTAATCGATGGACAACCTGGAAGTTGATGTCGTTTTCTACACCCGGCTCAGTCTTGATAAAGTTCTTCAATAGGGCTTCGGGATCATCCGTAGCCTCATTGGTCTCGGGTATACCACCAATCAGCAAGTTGTCCTTCATAGACCTCGTCTGGAGTTCAATGATTTTCTCCCTCTGATAGTCACATTCCTCCCACAACCGATCTCTCTCACTTTCAACCTTACTGGTTATTTCTTCTAGAATGGTGTGATCAAAATCGGTCCCTTCCAGTTTTTCGCTATGGATTCGGAGTTCTTGTTTGATGTTGGATATGTTACTCTCCATGCATGTGAACTTCCCTTCTATAACATCGAGCCTACTGACGATGGTGTCTAGTGTGTCTAGTCTCGAAAGTTTATTGTAGATGTCCCGTAGAACAGAGTCCAGATTTGGAGGGAATGCCTGGGGCGAGGGTGGTAGCAAGAGGCTAGAAGCGGTAGCTGGCTGGTTCGTTGTTTGCTGATAATACAATGGTTTAGGAACAGGCATAGACATAGTTGAGGGGGGAGACCCGTAGAGTTCCCGCTGAGCACTCGTTATAATGTCACTGGTATTACTAAGTCCTGTGTGTGCGCACGTGAACGCGTGTCCCGTAGACGTACAGGGGCTAAATGTACCTGTGTTGGTCACGGTCGAGTGATCAGCTTTCCTTTATCACCCTTCTTTCCCATTTAAATAAATTCTTTTTGACAGGAATTATATAATGACGCAAGTGACGATAATTGGAACAACATGGAATAACATGTAGGGTACGATACGTATGTACTACATATACATAGGACAATCGACAGTCGGTTCACCTCCGATACGTTGACACGTGTAAAGCTCATGCACACTGGTAACATCAGGTAAAACAGATTTGGTGATTACAAGTTTTTGCTGGTATAGATACTACTAGGACTGTTTTCGAGTCACCGTCTTGTTGTAAAATCAACTTGCTGCCTTTCATAACGTTGTTGGGGCGTTCCAGGATTACAACACAACAAAATTCAGCGAAAACAGCACCGGGGCCGATTCACACGTCCGCACTGTGTTCCGCCATCTTCCAGTCAGTACGGATACTATACAAGTAAGTAAAAAACAACTAATTCAGCATATTGACCGAACGACAAATAAATATATCTTATATCCATCAGAATTTGACAATAAATATAATAATTTAATAATTATGATCTTGCTACATATCCATTAATTCCAAACACGTAACCCCCTTCACAAAAAAAACTCATTTTGAAGTCGCGCCAAGTGTGTACTTCCATGAAAAGTGATATCCTCCACACTTTCTTGGTTTTTAGTTTTCTCACAGCTTTCGCTATAATCGACCTTTGTACGATCTTTTATTTCTTAACACTGTTGCCGTAGTCTTTCAAACGATGATCAATCGTTGACCCATACGAAAACATAAATCTGACATCGCTTTTAACACTCTTCTCGCGGAATTCCTGTCCATCTACTTGTTTCTACTGGTAAATGTACATAATATTTCTGTTTTATGGTTAACTTTCAAAAGAAACTTTGCAATTTCAAAGTTAACTTTTAAAATAGAGTACAATTGACCATGGCTACTGTTTTCAATATCATCATACCATTTTTATATAAAATAGTCTTAACGTCATTGTTGTTCTAAATGTTTAAAGCGGTTTTTATTCACTGCTGTTACATTCTGATTGGACCAAATATGATTTAAATCAGTATCATAAAATATTTATTTTACACTAACTGATTGATTTAAAAGTCACGTTATCCCTTTCCGGTAACTGAAACATTAACGTATACATACATGTAAACAGTTTATTATCATTTTGTGTTGTCTTTTTTTTCCAGAAAATCACCATTCTTAATTTTGTTTGCTCTTCGATAGGAAAACGTCCAGTCTCGCCATAAACCATTAAATTAGGAGCGCTGATCCTCAGGTTAAGCCGGCTAACATTGGTCTTGTCATGTTAAAGTGAACAATGTGGGCTTTCATATTTTTTAGAAAAATGATTTTACGTTGGATTGGTGATTACTATTTGCACGGTCTACACACCGAAAACTATCTTTACAGGTGATGAAATATTAATGGTGTTTACACGTGGTCATATTGTAAAGGCGTTCCCAATTTCATTTTGCCGAACTTGAATATTAGTTTGTTACCATGACAGTGTTGCTGATTGTATACCACCATGTTGTTCAGAAATAAATTTCTTCTATAAAGTTGCAGTGTTATGTTGGAATTAGTAATTGTTTTTTAGAAGGGGGGGGGGGGATATTTAGCATTTTTGAGCTGATAACTATGGCAATCACATGTCAGAAATCAGAGGATAATTTTTATTTGCACATTTTTTATTCCTCTACTTTTGATTTAATTGTTATATATTTATAAACATATATACATGTAAGGATATATTTTTCATAACAAATCTGCTATAGATATATATTTCAAACATGACCTATAATTTCAGGAAAAATGCTAATTAATTGTTCCTTCTGCCTATGTATTAGGTACCTCTTCGAACGCGCTCTATTCGAAGTTTTTCTTTACGAATGCGGACAACTTCCAACCGACAACCGGTCTGAGAGATGTAAATATCATATGATGTTCACCAGACTCATGTTATAACGCCAGAATTTGCTGCTCTTCAAGTAGTTTGACTTGATACCAGACAAGAATATCAGATAAGAGAACCGGAAGTATGAATAAGTTAATCCGGCTAGAAATTGAGTTTTTGTGGGCAAGCCTGACTCCAGTCAAGTAATCAAGATATAATCACAGGCGTGAATTCCGAATATTATCACGTGTTATAATGCTACATCAGAGCACGAAATTGATAAATTTGCTTTATGGTAAGTGTGTCTTACAATGCAAAACACAAAATTGTGAATCCGTTAGCCCATACTGGTTCGTTACAAATGCTAAATGAAAAAAACTCGAGCAAAAAATCCAGTCCACTTTGTTCGTATGATGTATAACAGTAGATCTAGCTGATCTTTGCTTGAGTTGTTTACGTTCCAGATACGGGTGCCTATGGTCGCACGTATACCTAAACCACCTATGTGTCCTTACCTAAATCGACTGCATAAAGTGAAGATTCAAGATACCGGTTCATGGGAGACAACTCTTATCAACCTCAGGTCATACATATACGGGGATGTTGTATTATAAAGGCATGAACTGTACTATCACGCAAGGTATCAATTTATCTCTTATCTTTATTTCGAACCCCTTGACTAGGTACGTTAAAATGAGCACTTCATTGATTAAAACATCTTTTTGTTTCAGCAAATATACCTAGCCTTAGCCTTGAATTGCAGGACCCAATGACAGAGATATGAAGACATTATATTTCAAGTTTATGAGTTACAAACCGCAATAATATAAAACGGTTTCCATAATCCAGGGAATACAAGAAATGTTTAAACTTTTGAATATATTCAAGAATGAAGAATATGTGTCATGAGATGTACAAAAATTCTAAATACATATCTATATAAAAGAATGTGTATAGTATAAAAAGAAAAACGTAAAGATTTATCATATAAAAGGCTGGGAGGTTTGCAGTGCATAGTGAAAATCAAACCAATAAATGAACTCTAGATTGTTTGATACAGACCAACATGAAGGAGCCAATAGTCACAGAGATTTATCTTTACTGGGCAACACTATATTAATTCAGTGAAAGGAAGAGATAGTGCACGAAAGATTGAGGATACTAAGACACTTATTTCCTCATGCTTGGCAATATGTCAAGACGTAATTTACTAGACACGACCAAGGAAAACGACCCTATTGAAGATGGATGTGAAAATACAGGAGAAGCACCTCGAAGTAGTGATATATGCGGTAAGAAATTTAGGGACAAAGGACATCTCCGGGAACAAGTAGCCATCCATACAGAAGTCCAACATCACAAGTGTGATGTCTGTGGCAAGGATTTTAACCAGAAAGGAGACTTACGGAAACACGCAATGATACACATAGAACAAAAACCATATAGTTGTGAAATATGTGGTAGGCATTTCGGTCGATCTGGGCATTTTAAGCTTCATCGTCTGGTACATACAGGAGAAAAAACCATTTACATGTGACATTTGTGGCAAAAAATTCAGTCGAGCAGGTAATTTCAAAGAGCATATGAAGATCCACACAGGAGAGAAAACATACAGATGTCATGTTTGTGGGAAGGATTTCAGACAAGCTGAAAATCTGAATGACCATTTAAAGAGGCATAAAAGTGAAAGGCATTTTAAATGTGATATTTGTGAAAAGGAGTTGAATCACAAAAGCAATCTAATGGCTCACCGTCGGACACACACAGGAAATGTGAAATTTGTGGGAAAGAGTTTTGCTGGCGAAGTAACTTTAGGCGACACCAGATAACACACGACGAAGTTAAATCGTGTAAGTGTGATATTTGTGGGAAGAAGTTGAGTCTTAAAGATACGTTTTTGGCACACCTTCGGATACACACTGGAGAAAAACCATTCAAGTTGCGGGAAAGAGTTTAGTTGGCCCGCTAACTTTAAACGACACCAGACAATACATGCTGAGGTTAAATTGTTTCGATGTGATATTTGTGGGAAGGAATTGAGTCAGAAAAACACACTGCTAGCACACCTTAGGTTACATACAGGAGAGAAACCGTTTAAATGTAATATTTGTGGAAAAGCCATCAGTTGTCAAAGAACCTTGAAACGACACCATATAATACATGCTGAAGTGAAATAATTCAAATGTGAAAAGTGTGGGAAAGGTTTTAACAGAAATAAACATTTGAAAAGACATATAATGAGAAATCATGGTGAAGGAAAGAAGATGTTCAAATGTGGTGTTTGGCAACAAGACAACTAAAAGTGGCACCTTATCAATCAACATTCTTAGAACAATAATATTGATTCTTGAAATATCCTTATCAATACAGTCTTTCATGGAGCTAGTATAAATGATATATCCTTTTAAAAGGTAATTGTTTACAGCCCATTTCCAAAAAACGTTATCCTAATATTGGCAATATCTGCAAACATCTGTAAGTATAATTTTAAAGCAGAAATGATAGTAGATGATAACAAGTTTTCAAAGAAACAGATTTTGTCTTTCGACCAACACATAAGTAGATGTGCATTATTTTTGATATGATCTGTGTGTGTAGGTCTAATTCATAACCTGAACAGGTTTTGTTTATTTTATCACTGGCCTCTGATAGGTCTAATCCGTAGTAATCTTACATCACAAATACATATACCGATAATAAATTTTCAATTGTATTTGGTCAAGGCAGGGCCATCACATAAATATCACAACCAGATGTTGAAACTTTTGAGGAATAATGACGGATAACAATGTTTAAATGTTCTGTTCACACAACGGATGTAAATCTTTGATTGTGTTTTTAATAAATCAATCAACATATTATTACGAAACTCTACTTTATGTGTTATTTCAACATGAATTACGTGTAATACTAGTAGGAAAAGCAGCATGGTAGTATCAACATTTGAACAAAATCATTACCCAAATTTAATAGAACAAGGACGAACTATAAACAAAAGAAAGGTTCACACGAAGACTCCCAAGAAAGTATAAGGAGAATAAGGCCACGTGTTCAGGAAGAATAAGCATCTTTTGCTTCATTGACGGCACCCTCTATGTAAATCTTGGACAATTGAAGTTCTCAATAAGAACAAGGTATACAACAACAGAACCAACAAGCAAACTAACGACCATCAAGCACGTCCAACTTCTTCTCAAAAAATAGAAGTAGAATATTTTAAAATGAGATCACTGTGGTGACAGTAAATCTTCCTCACAATCTTCATCAATATGCAGCGTTTGAAACCGTGTGATACACTTGTACATAACTTGATACCTTGCACAAAAACAGGCCCTTGTATATCGAATAAACTACGACGTGTAAACACCATTAGCTATGGATGCAAGGTTGTTGCTATCCAGAAATGGAAAATTCACAATAGGGAAATTGAAATCATCAAGCATATCATACAGCTTGGTGGAAAGCTGTTTATGTCTTTTTTTTGTTTTAGGAAAAAATCAAGATAAGCAGCTGATGTAGAAGGTTCTGTTATGTACTTGATTTCCAGTTCTAATAAATGAAACTTTATTTATTTTACAACAATTGCGAAACAAGTTTTTCCAACTTATATTACTCACTCTTGATGGCCCACATGGAAGCGCGCGACGGGTCTCGTGTGGGAGGAAACTAGAGAACCCGGAGAAAACCCACGTGGTCGGGCAGGTGACTCCTTACCTTTTCACGTCCATTCCGGGAATCGAACCCTGGATGGCGAGTGCGTTACCCATGGCGCCACCCGACCTACCTATTTTAATTCTGGTGGATATATACGATGGAGATGGTCAATTTGTCTCTTGTTATTTAAATTCAAGACATCATCAATATGTCTGGAAGTGAAATGGAAGGGCTTTGCAACATCTCTGTGGTCTGTTATGCTAGAAGATAGAAGAATAATAACGTAGAAAGTATTTTCGACTCTGGATTTTATATTTCTTATTTGGAATTCATTATTTGTTGTAAAAATACAATAAATCAACAATAGATAAAATTGTATTCAGAGGTAATGACGAGAAGCAATCGTTTGAACAAATTTCTTCTACATCAAGAAGGATTTTATATGAAATATTCCAAAGATTTAAGATTTTAATCCTATAGTAACGAGAAATGTCTGAACATAGCGCTTTACTCCTACTCCTCCTCATAGCTGGACCAAAGTAACATAACACAGTGGTCAGTCAGTGAAAGTCCACTACGGTCAAGAAATGATATGTACATCAGATTCTTTTTTTACATCTTCAACGGAAGACCAAGGCAATCAAAGAAGGAATTTAGAATATTCAGAGAATAGGATAACAATATACAACTTAAGCTGGAATAAGTGATAGAGCTATATTGATCAGGGAATACTCATTACTTTCAATTATACTGTATACCGAGTAATATATGTGATTATTGTGTAGGCTTGGTGGTACTGGCCAAACAGTTATTTGTGGATATCTATATGTTTTACACATGGAATTACATATTTATTGTATATCTATATATTTCATGATATCTCATTAAGCAAATGACATAATTACGAAAAGTTCAATCTGGGCACATTTCTTTAATAAGAAGAATTTGTTAAGGTTAATCACATGCTGAAAGATGATATCGCTTTTGCCAACATATTTGCAGTATGTTTATCTAATTGTTAATTTTAAATCTTATCCTGAACTGGATATCGGAAAAGTTTCTAGAATTAAAGCAGTACAACATTAAAGCCAAGCTTTTACATAATAGACCAAAAACAATCTTGATAAGCTTCTTGAAATGATGATGCCGCAATAGTATTTATTAACATGTTTTCATCGCATTATCATCACATATAAAATATATTACAGTTTGGGTCAATAACTATTGAATTTAGTTTATTCTAGAAACTGTAGAGGCCAAGCAAGTCTTGATTATCATCAATTTCAGAATCTGTATTGCTTGACAGACTTGATTTTAGTCTTTTGATAAAAACATTTTGCGTGTTTTTATGTACACGCAATCAATATGGTGAAATTTGACTGTATTGAAAAAGGGTACATTTTCTAGACAACGTATCTGTGCGTACATGTTATTATACATATCTTGTTAACATTATCTGTTGTTGAATAATGAGATGGACGAGGGTTAAGTGGTTACGTGTTACAGATAGCAATGTGTAAAAGATCGCTTAGACAAGGATAGTCAAATCTAGTTCAGGTAAAATTACAACCGATAACAAAAAGTCATTACACCACTGTCTTACATATGTGAAATTGTCACAATACTGTCATACACATGTGAAATTGACACACTACTGTCATACACATGTGAAATTGACACACCACTGACATACATATGGGAAATTGTCACACTACTAACGTCCATATGTGAAATTGACACACCACTATCGTACATATGTGAAATCGACACACCACTATCGTACATATGTGAAATTGACACACCACTGTCATACACAAGTGAAATGGTCACACTACTGTCATACATATGTGAAATAAACACACCAGTGATATATATATGAAATCGACGCATCACTGTCTTTCATATGTGAAATGTGAATTTCATTCAGCTACTACCTTGATATAGTTCTTAAAGATAATAACAAAGTTTTTTCAATTAATGAAGCGGGAAAATTCTGAAACAAAAATTAACGAAGTAAATCATTTTCCTGACTTTGTGTTCATGTTCATGTATTTTTCTTCGGTTGTCAGTAAAGAATTCATTATGATTATATATAAATCTTTGAAATGTGTAATTACACGCATTAACCTAAATAAGTAGCATAAAAAGGATACATTATCACATTGTATAAAAGTCACACAAGTTAATAGCACATTTTCATAATTCAGATTGATTTACAGTAGTGCCAAAGCAATGAATTAAACTGCATCATACAGCTGTTTCGTCCTTCTAGGACTCCTCAGTGATGCTAAAATTCTTAAGTCTAGGAGAGGAATGGGGGAAATCCAAAGTGATCAAAGAAACTCCTAATCTAGACAGGGAGGTGCAGCAGCCCCATAATGTATGAAATGCTTTGTTCGACTGTTGCTCTAGGACACATGCTGTTGATACTTTTGTTAACCAAATTCAGTCATTTGGGAAGATAGAGATTCCACCCTGGCTCATGAATTCACCTGAACTTGACTTTTCACTTCATGAGATGGTTTAATCAGACACAAACAGGTACACGTTTCGTTCATCCTTCTGGAAATTGCAGATAAAATAGAAAACATTTCTATATTTATTTACTGATGCTCCAAAAGATAATGATAAAGTTGCTGCGGCCATGGTTACACAAGATGAAACCTATGGATGCCGGCTGCCGAACAACGCCTCAATAATCTCGGCAGAAGCGCGAGCTATCTACCTCGCCCTTGAATATATTCAAAGAAATAAAGTTATGAGAGTTGTTATCCATTCAGACTCTCTTTCTGTTATACAAACTCTTAGCAATAGATATATCGAAAATATTTTCATTAGAAATACCTTAATGCTATATAATGAACTTGCTTTTAACTTTCGTATTGCTTTTTGCTGGGTTCCTGTGCAAATGGGAATACCAGGCGATGAAAAAGCAGATCGTGCCGCAAAGACATCTTTATTGCTACCACTTGTTTTTAAACTTCATCTTACCGATTTTAAACCATTCATTAAACAAATTTTAAAAGCTCAGTGGCAGGAGGATTGGAATACCTTTACCAATAACAAATTGCACTCCGTTAAACCTGTTATCGGTGAATGGTCTCCAGGCTATAGAGACAACTACCGAGACGAAGTTGTCCTTGCCCTTACACATTCATATATGTTAAAAGGCGAAGATCATCCTTGGTGCATAGGATGTGATGAACCATTCACCGTTCAACATTTTTTTATTGGACTGCAGTGACCTTCTGTCTACTCGAGAACGTTTTTATCGTAACATTACATGTCTAAAATCCCTTTTGA